CCCCGCCGCGCCGCCGGCTGCGGCCGCGGGCGCGCCCGGCGGAGGCCGCGCCGCAGCAGACCTACCGGCGCGTGCAGAGCCGAGTGCCCGTGTCCGACAAGGACCTGTACTACTACATGGACGACGCGCGACTGACCGGCGGCGACGCTCTGGCGTTCGACGCGCTCGACGTCGCCGACGCGCCTGACAATGACTTCGACGACGACGGGCCCCCGGCGGCCGCGCCGCGCAAGAAGAAGTACACTATACTCGAGGTACTTGCCCCTTAACCCTTACTGTAAGCGCCAGACGCGGGCTCGAGTTCCGTGCAAGAAAATCATGGAGCGCTCGAAACTGCGTTGGTTTTCATTCTACCACGATGTTCCGTAATTGTGGAATAATAAATTGAAAGCGATGCACGAACCAACTTTTCTTTTCTCGTTATGGATGCCCACAAATGATAAAATTATTTTTAATCCACGAGTATTTGATGTGATTTGATTTGTTACCGCGTTTGGGTCGACCGTCGCGGTGCGGCGGACGACATAGTTACAGGCGTTGTTATTTTCATGCAAGTTGTCATTTTGTCCATTCAAATCAAATGAAGTCAAACCAATTATCTTTATGTCGTACTCGTAGCTAATCAAATTACACCTGAAAAGTTCACATTAAACCAAAAACCACTCCACTCCGAACTATCGTATTGTGTCCAAACTTTACCGTGTAGACTACAGTGTTGTGACAAGTATGATATCAATCCAAGTGTTCATTTTTTTATTGAGCGCAATTGTATGACAACCTCGGTGGCCCAACGGTTTGCGCTGTGGGTGCTCATGGCTCGGGTCAGATTTCCGGTACGACCTATTTAGGAAACGAACTTTTCGAAATTGATTCTGGTCTGGGCGTCTGCAATAGTGCCCCAGAGTGTATTCCGTTGCTCTGGTACTCATAATAGTACATGAAATGATCTGGTCTGAGACCAGGTCATTAAATTACTGTGGTTGTCTGGCACTTTATTTTAAAGTAAGCATTAATATAGAATAGAATAGAATAGAATAGAATAGAGTAAAATAGACATTTATTGCAACGCCACAATACATAGATACAAAAAAAAATATTGATACCACTTAGACAAGCAAAACAAAACAAAAAGACGTAATTAACAAAATTAAAATAAAATAAAATAAGACAATAACAAACAAAGAGCAAAAAAGAAAAATACTAAATATAACGACTACAAATGTTGTACTGTCATGTGTGCGGTTGTGGCGTACGCAAAAGGACTTCATTCAGCTTATACCACAGCCGCAATATGGCCGCAATTGACTGTGGCGCTTTTGTTGGTAGGTCAATGATGGCGCTGGTTTTCAATGAGCCCTGAGCTGAGATGAATGACGGACGTGTGTGTCGCAAAATAAAATAAACTAAAATAAACTGCTTAAATAGTTGTGTATGTGTTCTTTGTACGTTGTGTTAATGCTGTATGTTATATTATAGATCGCAAAAGTACTTAAAGTATGTATATTTATATATTTATATATATATATATATATATATATATATATATATATATATATATATACTGTGTGAGTTTATAGTGTAGTGACGTAATTACGTAATAAATAAAATTATACAACTCGTTCGCTCCGAGCCGGGGAAAACGAAAGATGCGCGCACAGGAGGGGAGGGCACGCTATTCAACAACCGGCACATCGCCGATCACACGTTTGTTTTGTTCGTTCGTTATATATCGTATCGTTCCTATAAACATTCACAAACTTTTATATAAAAAAGGACAATGACATGAGGTGATATTACCTTAAAAAATTGCAAAAGCAAATTTCTTGACTCTTTTTTTGATAGATCATAAACCTTCTTCAAAATAATAGTAATAGGTAATGTTCGACAAAATTAAAACAACATGAAAAATCCTATTTATGATATCTCAACTTCAACGAACGTCAGTGGTTAAAAAAAGACTCGTCTTTTGCATAATTAGATAGAAGGTGGCGATGGAACGCGACGCAGCGGCAGAGGGGGCAGGCGGCGGTTCGTACAGGAAGAGGGCGACGACGGCATCGCCATCGTGAGCCTCGACAACGGGCCCTTCCCCGAGTTCCGGCTGCCGACCGACCGCCGGCAGTACATGCACCACCAGTACACCGACGACGCGCCCGACCCGCCGCCTGATGAGCCCCCTTCGCAACGGCGCCGCGGCCACTCGCTCGAGTACGCGCAGCAGGAGGACGAGCTGCTCTACCTCTCGTAGCACCCGACCGGCCGTCCCAGCCGAGTGCGGCCGTTTGCCGCGATCGTATGTTGGCAGAGACGGCGCTGATAATTTTATTTTATTATCGTAGTGTACAAGGACATAAAATAAGCAATAATATAAAATTTCGTACTGATGTATTTTGTAAATGTATTTATTTATGATACGTGAAGTAGTGCTAGTATGACGTCTGAGCATGGCATGAGCGTATCACGCGTACTGTTGCTTCTGGCCGTGGCGGGCTGCCACTGCGCGCGCAACAAACCTTCTGGTGAGTGGTGATCCTTAGCATTGGTTACGTGACAACGTAGCAACGGCCCGTCCATCTTATTAGCCTCGTTGCCTTGCTGCGCTGACTCGATTAATTAATTACACAAATCAATAATTCGTATTAACAAGTATATAACTGCAAATTACTTAGGCACCATTAGTGGAGAAAAATCAACTTTTTTTTAAGACGTGTGACAACCCCAGCCTGCATTTAGCCAGCGTGACGGACTACGACCTAAGCCCTCGAACGAGAGGAGACCCGTGTCCGGCACAGGGACGTATAAATGAGTTGATGATGAATTTACAAAGCTTAATTTCAGGACGTGATGAAGTACGCTTCGAAAGCAAAGACGAACAATTCGTACGACCTAAGATCGTGTTGACGCAGGCTAATGGCGGAAGTGGCTTACTGCGCGTCGGCGTCCAGTCGCCGCGCCTCGACGTGGTCGGACCGCGGGACGTGACGCGCCGCCGGCCGGGCGCCAGGAGGGCCTACGAAGCGGGAGTGGACTTGGCGGCCGAGGTGGAGGACTTCCCGAAAGAGTACTATAACAACGCGGACCAACTCGTGGACACCGACAAGCCCCTTCAGTCAGATGACGAGCAGCTCTACAACGTTCATATGCGCGGGCGCATCGAGCGCCCCTCCACCCAGTCCGGCACTCCCATCACGCTGTTCTCTACCCGCAACTTGATGACCCCTCGTAAACGGCTGCGCACCCTGTGGCCCAATCTATCTATAAGTAATGACTTACAAAATATTCTCCACTTCGAAACCACTTTAGTCGGATATGGCTTGCCCCATTTAGACAACATTGCACCAACTCAGGAACCCGACTTGCCTATCTTCAGCGAAGATCCGGCCGACCTTGCCGCCGAAACCGAGACCGTCGGGCTTACGGGCAAGACGAACCTCTCTAAGGCAATAGCAAAAACTGACAAACCCGTCGCAGTCGACTTCACACCGAGATTCCGCTTAAATAACAGATCGCAAGCAAGCCATCCCAGCGTCCCGAAGAAGGAGAGGTTCGAGAATTTCGTCAAATTCATACAAGCGAACAATGACCTTGTCGATGAATATATCCAGAAGAATCGTGGGTCGTACCAGGTGTCGAGTCATGGCAATCACGCCGAAAAACACCTTCTTGGGCGTAACAGCCTTGACTCCCAGGAGGCCCAGGGCGGGCACGCCCAAAGTGTGCACACCCAGGCCGGGCACGTAGGAGTGCCCAGATGGAGCGTTGACCCCGCAAGTCAAGGCGAGCCGAAGGACACGGTGGTGGGGAAGAATACAGGCCTTCTGACAGGAAGAGGTCCCATGGGCCTCTCGACAGGACGAGGTCCTATGGACCTCCCGTTCAGGAGAAGTCCTATGGGGCTCCTGACTGGAGGAGGTACTGTCCCGATTGTGCGACACCGGCTGTCCTATCGGACTTCTAAGTCCATCACCACCCAAATGAACCACGTGTTATCAGGGGAGAAAATGGAGGAATACTCCACCATCAGCAATTCGCGGCTGGTCGACATGGCGCCCGCGCGCGGTGCGCTAATCTCTCGCATGCGTCACAAGGTATCTGCTTTGTTTTTTATTCGTATTTACACTTTCTGGTCCTGAATTATGCACAAGTCATGTACATTAGGTACTACCTCTTACCTAGGCCCCGATACTTTAAAGTCCCTTAAAAGTACCTATTTAATACGTTTGACTGCACTATTGAACCAAAGTATGAGATAGAATAGGTAATAGTGTGTGCGATCAACCTGTAGTACTTAAGCAATCGTTGCACACCTTGCATGAACTGTGTTGCGGACTCAGGTCGTGTCGTGTACAAACTTTCCTTTCTAGTGAATAGTTTGGATCGTGCCACAGCCGGAATGAGGGTGGGCCACAGTTGCGCCTATTCCAATATTAACCTGTGCACTCAGGGTCGCATCTGCCAGCGCCACGTGCTCATGCCTGAGGGACCAAAGTACAACAGACGTGGCGCGGTGCACTTGAAAGAGTTCAAGTCGATCTACGGCAAGGACTTCCCGCAGACGCGCGCGCCACGTGTGATACTACCCGCGTGCTGCAACTGCTGCCGCAAGTCCGTGCTTGGATGCGAGTGACCTCTACCACTGTCGACTCTTAACCACGAGTCTTAGTAATAAAACCGTAATTAATCAACGCTGCACTTTTATTCCTTGAATGTTACCATAGTATGATGCTTCGTCATTCAGCATTCCAATTCCATTCTGTAACAAAAAGAGCATGTTATAACTTGACCACCTAAAGCTCGCCCTTCTCATAATTTTTTTTCGCGGGTAGGTGTGAGACAACAAACAAGTCACTCCCATTAATAGTCAAATATTTATTAAAATCAATTAAAGTTTATTATAAATTTCGTGTTATTTGATAGATATTACATATATGTATCACGTGCAGTGTTGGTGAATACTTCCCATGTCATTTCAGTGAATTTTAGTACATACCTGCCAGCAGACCTTTGGACTTTTGTAATATTTTGCACTGTCACTACATAACGGAACAATTAAAACTTAATTATTATTATTGGAAACATCAATTTCGTCATGGCAACTTATAGTAACATCCTGGAGATGCAAAAGAACTTGGAGACATCATTGATGCAGCGATTTGCTGAGTTTGATGCTGCACTGAAAGCTGCGTCACCTCAAGCGCACACCATTGGCAGCCTCACCACGGAGTTCCTATCATTTAAAGATCAGGTAGGCTGCATTCTGCAGCTGCTTAGGCAGCAGATTTCTAGTCTCAGCAACACTGTTGATTCCATAGAAATGCGGCACAGGAGGAAATATTTGCTGTTTGGTGGTGTGCCGGAAGCAACTGATGAGGACATTGTAGGCACAATTGAGAACATCTGCCAAAAAACTCTTCATTTGCCAAATGTTACTCGCAGGTCCATTGTTGCTTGTCACAGACTTGGGGGGGTTATTGAGGGCCGGCCTCGACATGTACTGGTGAGGTTTGCTGAGCTGGACATGCGTAACTCTGTGTGGTCAAAGAAAACTGCACTGAAGGGCTCTTCCATAGTGGTCACCGAGTTTTTGACAAAGCAGAGACAGGCGGTGTTCCTTGCAGCGCGTAGGCATTTCGGAATGCGTAATGTCTGGACTGCTGATGGGAACATTAATGTGAAGCTGCCAAGCGGTAAGAAACACCGCCTGACCACCACCGAGCAACTGGGTGTGTTAACTGCGTCGCATGCCCCTGTGACGACTCCGGCATCCACCGTGTCTCGTGCGACTGCTGCGCCAGCGCCGGCTGGTCCGCCAAAGGGAGCCGCAAAGAAGGTGGGGGAGCGTCGAGCTCGGCGAGAAATTTAATAACTTTCTCAATTATATATTGTTACTTTGTGTAGTTTGTAATGTGCCCGTCATTTTATTTTTTAACTTCGAATCGCAGCCGAACTGTACATAAATACAGATTCCCTTTAGTTTTCCACATATCTTTGAAACCTTCTATTCAAACCTGTAATCTTGTGTTCATTTCATTCTATTTAGTTGTAACAACTTAGGTACCGTCACGATGAAAGTTTAATTTTAATTATTTACGTAAGGTAGGTTTGTTTCATTTTTTAATTTCAACAAAAGTAATTAAGGTAGGCTAGACACTCTGTAAAAATTTGATTATTTTTGTTTTTGATTTTGACAGCTGGTAGTAGTTCGGTTGCGTTCAGAAATTGTTCATGGAATGCTTTTTTTTTTTTTTTTTGTTTACTGGCGGCGGGCCGATAACCAATGTAACTTGTTTTATGTTTTAAAGTCTTATAGTTTTTAATTTACGGTCGACTGGTGGGTTACACAGAACCCATACTTCGAAACTTTTTTTTATATATTATTATATTTTATTAAATTTATTTTATATTAAGTATTATTTTTTATACAATTAATATTTATTTATTATACGTCTATTTATACCTACGCAACACGTAATGTCAGATGATGACTCTTTTTACTCAGCTTGCAACTCGCCTTCGTCTTTTCTTTCTATTGATAGCTCAGAATCTGAGTTTCATAATACTGCTACCCTTGGCGATTCATTAACGCGCGAATTCCAAAACTTCACGAACTTTCTAAACGTCTGTCATATAAATGCCCAAAGCATCCCTAGCCACTATAATGACCTACTTGATACTTTCTCCTCTTCTAATATTCATGCTATTCTGATTTCAGAAACATGGCTTAAACCAAACCTTGCTTCTACATCTTTTAGTCTTCCTGGTTTCATATTACTTCGCAATGACCGCACGGGAAAGGGTGGCGGAGGCGTTGCCATTTACATCCGTAATGACGTTCCTTTCAAAATTCTTTCTTCTTCTCCCTCTCTATACTCCAGTTCTTTGGAACACTTGCTCATCGAGATCAAGGTAAAGGGTATAAAAGTGGCTCTAGGGGTTGTGTATTGTCCTCCTTCTATAGATTACTTCTCTTCGTTCGAAACTTTACTCTCATCTCTTAGTACTGAATACACTCATCAAATAATCATGGGCGATTTTAATACAGACCTCGTGAAAGACAGCATGAGAGCTCGCACTTTGAAAGCAGTGATTGAATCTGTAGCTTTAACCATTCTACCTCTTGAGCCTACTCATCACAACGTAGACGCGTCGGATACCTGGCTAGATCTTATACTTGCCTCCTCTATTGATCACGTGGGTAGGGCTGGACAATTTTTGGCACCAGGTTTTTCACGACATGACCTCATTTATTTGAGCTACAAAATTAAACCACTTAAGGCCCAGCCTACTACAATTCAACTACGTAGTTTCGCGAGACTTGACATGGAAGTGTTAAAAAAGGACGCGCAGGCTTTTGATTGGGGCCCTACGTTGTCAGCATCAACAGTAGATGAGGCGGTGTTTTCATTAAACTCCGCAGTTCTGAAACTTTTTGACACTCATGCGCCAATTCGATCTGTCAAACTAAAGCGCCCTCCTGCGCCATGGATAACTCGAGCAGTCCGTATTGCAATGACAAGACGAGATCGTGCGTTTAGAAAATACAAGCGCGACCGATGTGAGGAAAATTGGCTCCGTTTTAAGGCTGCAAGAAATAGGTGTAATCAGATGGTAAGAGCAGCCAAACGTAAACATATTTATGAAAATATTTTACATTCTTCCCCCGTTAACACCTGGAAATTTCTAAAATCTATTGGTGTAGGTAAACCGCAAAGTTCGTACAATATAACTTCTTCCTTCTCCTTAAATGAGCTGAATACTCACTTTGCCAAAACTGCAACTTTAGACACCAACACCAAACAGCAAAGTATTGCATTTATTAGAGCACTGCCCAAAATTTCAAATTCTGTTTTTATTTTCACCTCAGTAACTGAAGATGAGGTCAGGAAAGTGGTTTTGTCAATCAAATCTAATGCTGTTGGGCACGATGACGTAAGTAGAATTATGGTTATGTGTATTTTAGAATGTATACTCCCTATTATCACGCACGTAGTTAATTTCTCGATGATGACTGGGGCTTTTCCTTCTCTGTGGCGAAATGCTCATGTAATCCCTCTTCCAAAAGTTACTAACCCCAGCCTCCTCAAGCATTACCGTCCCATCTCAATTCTTCCTTTTCTTTCTAAAGTCTTAGAGGCTGTCGTTCACAAACAATTGTCTGCCTATGTTTACTCAAACAATATCCTTTCTCCATTTCAATCAGGTTTTCGACCAGGTCATAGTACTTCTACTGCATTGCTAAAGATTGTTGAGGATGTAAGGAGGGGCATGGACTGTACTCTACTTACTGTGCTGGTCCTAATTGACTTCTCCAATGCATTCAACGTCGTGGATCATGACCTTCTCCTTGCTACCTTAGACCACCTAAACATCTCTTCAATGGCAGCTCAATGGTTCTCTTCTTATCTCCGCGATCGCCAACAAGCGATTCGTATTGATCGCTCGTTCTCAGAATGGTGTAAACTCACTTCCGGGGTACCTCAGGGCGGAATTCTCTCTCCTCTCTTGTTTTCTATTTTCATAAATCTGATTACGTCCAGCATCAAATGTTCTTACCACCTGTATGCCGACGACTTGCAGCTTTATACCGAGGTTAATGTCGGTGGCATAAGTGATGCAATTGTATTAATTAATGATGACCTTCATCGCGTCTCGGTTTGGTCCCAAAGGTTTGGTATCAATGTCAACCCTTCCAAGTGTCAAGCCATCATCCTTGGAAGCTCACGCCTTTTTTCGTCTTGTGATCTGTCGTGCGTGCCACCAATAATGTATGAGAACGTAGTGATTCCTCTGTCAAATCAGGTAAAGAACCTGGGGCTTATTATTGACACAGGCCTTACGTGGGATTCCCAGGTATCTGACGTTTGTCGTAGGGTTACAGATACACTAAGAGCTCTATACAGGTTCAAGAACTTTCTTCCAATTAAAACCAAAACTCTCCTTGTTCAAGCTCTAGTGTTGCCTGTGATTGATTATGCTGACGTGTGTTACAGTAACATCTCTCAAGTCTTTTTGAATAGATTAGATCGTCTTCTTAACAACTGCATTAGGTTTATTTTTGGTCTGCGGAAGTATGACCATATATCTGCTTGTCGTCGTCAACTAAATTGGCTTCCCATCCGTGAACGCAGGTCCTTAAGAATTTTAACCACTCTTTTCTCCATCTTGTTCGACCCGGCTGCACCTGATTATCTTAAATGTTCATTTCAATTTCAAAACGCTCGGCCGGGTTGCGAATTTCGATCTTCCCGTAGCCTTAAGCTTTCCATTCCTTCTCATCGCACTGATTTTTTGTCTAATTCTTTTACCCTTCATGCAATTCGTCTTTGGAACGCGCTCCCGCTCCATATAAGACAAGCTCAGACCAAATTATCTTTCAAGCGCATGTTGCGCAAGCATCTGTTTGACAATAGTCAAAATTAAGACACTGTTTAATGTTGCTTTGGGTACATATATCATATTATTTATTATTATAATATATATATGTAAGTTTATTATGTATGTATAATAAGTATGTTTATTGTATGTTATTTATTTATACCATACAAATTATCGATTAGTTTTTCTTCTTTTTTTTATTCTAGTATTTCTATTTCTTCTTGTTTAAGTGTAGCACCAACCTATTGTGTTTTTTTTTTCTGTTTGGCCCAATGGTTGACTGGTAGAGAATGCCTTA